ACCCAAATAAACACTCAAATTGCTTTTGATTAGTATTTTATCATAGAGAGGCAAACTATGATCAGCAGGCTTTCTCTCTAAAAAGACAGACGGTAGATATTTCACACAGGACTAACTGTGCACCTGGCCAAGGGCAGGATGGAAATTGGACCTAATTGTTCAACAATTATTAAGGGTTTTAAGGAGGCTGGAATGTACCCAAGTGTAGGCCCTTCGGAGTCCTTGTAGGGCCCCAGGGCAGAGCTCTGTGTGCAGCCGTTCAGGAGCATTCCCTTGAAGCTGGCCCTGAGTGGACATTGTCACAGCTACTCAAGTCTGTCATAACCTGAAAGCCATCTCTGCCTTTAATCCCAGCACTGGTCCAGCCTGCTCTACAGAGAGAGTTCCAGGATAGCCAGAGATATACAGAGAAACCCTGCTAGAAAAACAAAACAAAACAAAACAACCTAAACAAACAAAAACAAACTAACAAAACAAATGGTCTGGAGAGATGGTTCCATGGTTAAGAGCACTGGCGCATTTGGCCAACAGGTTACAGCCCATCTATTACAGAATTAATATGCCTTTCCAGGTTCAATTCCCAGCACCTAAGTGGTGGCTCACAACTATCTGTAACTCCAGCTCCAGGGGATCCAACACCCTCTTCTGGCCTCCTCAGGCACTAGGCACACACATAGTGCACACACAACATGCAGGCAAAACATCCATGTACATAACATTTTTTTATTATGATCTAATTTTTTTAACTTTTTAAATAACAGAAAATATTTTGTGTGTATTTATGGGGCACAATATAGTTTTGTTGTTTATTTTTAATTAACATAAAATGTATAAAAATAGTTAAAGCCTAAAACAGAGTATACAATAACCCTATGAACCAGCTATCATACTGCAGGGTGTATACTGAGAGGATCTACACCAGCAACCAGAGGGACCTGCACATCCTGTCTACCAGGCTCTGTTTACAGAGCAGTCCAGGTATGGAGTTGGAGCAGATGGCTGTCAGCAGATAAGTGGATAAAGAAAGCATTATGTAGTATAGTATATACATTTATATAGGATATATATATATGTGTGTGAAATATATATCCAGTCATCGAGAAGATTGAAATAATGGCATTTGCGGGGAAATTGATGGAACTAGAGATCATCAGATAAGGGAAGTAAGCCACACTCAGAAAAACAGATATTTCACGTTTATTCTCATACACAGAATCTGGACTTAGAAGCAAAAAGGGCCTGAAAGTAGAAGGGAGACTATGAGAAGAGGAGGAGGAGGGAGGAGGGAGAAGGGAGGAAGGAAGAAGGAAGAAGGAGGAGGGAGGAGGGAGGAGGGAGGAGGGAGGAGGGAGGAGGGTAAGGGTGCGAATCGGGCAAGTACATGATGCGGATGTATGAAAGCATCGTGATGAAAGCTAGGGAGAGAGCTCGCTGGTAAAGCACTTGTCTGTGTCAGCACAGAGCCTGAGTCTGGGTCGTCAGCACCCACGAAAAGGTCAGGCATGGCTGAATGCACTTGTAATCCCACTGTTGGGGAGGCAGAGACAGACAGACAGACAGCCAAAGACAGAGAGAACACCATGGACCAGTGAATGTCCTCGGATGCACGGGCCTGATGTCACACTCCAACCATCATGAATTATCCAGTCCAGAATGCCTGAGAGCAAATGTAAACAAGCCCACCCCACACACCTTGAAGCGTGCTCCTAGAGCCCAGGAGGCCTGCGCCTGGGGGCCTGGCCTGTCCAGCCTGCCGGGAAGGATGGGACTTTCCAGCTCTCCCTCCTGAACTGAAAGCCATGCTGGGCTGCCCACCCTTCCTGCCCATGACTTTCTCTTCTGAGCAGCCATGCCGCCGCCGGGTCTCCCCTCCCTTGGCAGCTCCCCGCTTGGCACAGCACAGGCAGCCAGCCTCGAGGCCCTGGGAAAATTCCTAACCTTTGCTTTGGTTTCCTCCGGCTCTTGGCAGCTCCCGGGAGGCCCTCAGCACGTGTGCCCCGGGCTTGACATGCTGAAGTGCCCCATTGTTCTCACTGCCGTCTGCCTCAGGCCTGCTCCTCTCTTGTACCCTCCTATGAGGAGCCCTGCTGGACACCCTCATCTCCCCACGAAGGTGTGCTGAGGAGCAGGGGCCAGTCAAGAGTGGATGTAGGATCTGTCCCCAACCCTGTGTGGCACAGACAGGAGGGGATGCTGAGCCTGAGTGGGAGCTGGGAAACCTGAATCTCTCCTCCCCTTTCCTTCCTGGACTCTGGTGACCTTGAGTCAGGCCGCCTCCCACTCCTGGAAATGTGCAGAAGCGGCATCCCTAGAGACACAGAGAGGGGCTGTGGGGAAGGCTGACAGAGCCTGCCGGCGGGAGGGGCTGGTGCTCTCTGCCTAATGGCTGTGCCTCGGCTGCTGTGGCCGCCTTTGCAACAGTGTGTCTTTGCTAGTCACGGAGCCCATCTCCACAGGTTCTTCCCGGCTTGAGGGTGCCCTTTCTGGAAGCCTTGTTCTCTGAGGTCTGCATCCAGCTGTTAGTGTGACCGCCCCAGGGAAGTCATCCACTCCGGGCTTTGTCCCTGGACGGGAGCGGTGGATTGGTGGTATATCTTGGCAGGGAAGCCATTCCAACAGCCAGCCTGGACCTGCGACTCGCTGAGTCTAAGGCACCTAAGGCGCCTCAGCCATGGTCTGTGAGGCTCCTCCCTACTTAACGCCCAGAACCCTGCATCCAGGAGCAGGTACAGATACAAAGGCACAGTGTTGGCTTCACTCTGCTGCTGTGTGAGCTCTGGTGACATGGTGAACAGCTCTGGGCCTTGAACTACCAGCTACAAAGGTCCCCAGTGTTCCTTCCATTAGGGGAGCCTGCTGCTGGGACACTTTATACTCCCACCCTGCATTTCAGTGCATCCGGACAGAGAGCACCTGGCTCCAACCCTTTTGAGACCTGAGGCCCTGAATGGCATGCCCACACCTGAGATGTCACAACAACACAGAAGAAGGGCCATCTCTCCCTGGTTCAGTATGGCCCCTACCACAGACCCAGTCTCTGGAGTGGCTGACTTGGGTCTGAGGAGCCCACATGCTATACTCACAACCAAGCTGAGGAACTAGGAAGAATCTCTTTCTTTTGACATCCAAAGGTGCTCCCTGCCCCTGCAAGATCCCCCAGGGGCTTAGGAAGCAGCTAACCATGTCCCTCTTTTGCCCTGGGACCTGGCAGTCTGGGGCCACTGGGTGTGGAGGTTCCGACTTGGTTTGTTTCACGGTTCTTCCAAAGGCTCTTATCCCTGTGAGTCCAGGGCCTGCCTGGTCCCAGGTCTCTGGAAGTTGGAGGGCCAAACAGAGCAGGAGGCCTGGGTCTGGCAGCAGAGGTTTGGTGATTGATGCCAATGCTGCCTCTCCCCACCCCCAACTGATGGAGCACTGGAATACAGGGCCTGGGTCCTCTCCCCCTCCCCTGCTCTCCAAGGACCTGAGCGTCACTTCTGCCTCCTGTCACAGGAATACGGGAAGCAATCAGCCCGGGAAGCAGCAGCGTTTCCTTCCTTTCCCACCGGCTCTCCGGATACTTCAATAACTTGAGCTTAGACTGTGGGTTCTGAGCTTCTGGGGGTGTGGAAAGGAAACCCCAGTAGGCAGGAGTCCTAGCTTGGGTGACCTGGTCCTTTCTGGGCCCAGTGCAGTATGCACAAACCCTCTAGTCACCAGAGCCTAGTGTAACACCGCCCAGGGAAAGATGGAGGGTCCTCTGCTCTCAGGGGCTAAGGAGCAAACAGGCCCTCCCCACACCCAGGAGGTGGGAAGAACCAAAGCTCCTCCCTCCTGACCCTCAAGTTTTTCCATCCTTCCCTTCACAATGGGAGGAGGGACTTGCTGCTGATGGCTCTGGGGAGGAGAGGCTTGATCCCCAGCCCTGAAGCCCTGAAGTCAGAGGTGGGTGGCAGGATTGCCCCCATCAACAGTCACCTGTGCGTGAGAGCCGGAGTAGAACCGGGGATGGACGGAGGACCTCTTCTCTCTACACTGCCAGACCCACCCCTTCCTCACTAAGCAGGGCTTGCGCCTGTCACCCTGCGGCTTCTCCCTGGCTAAGCCTGCTTTCCAGAAAGTGCCCAACGGCTATTCCCCTGAGCGTGTCATGGAAACCTGGCCCAGGCAGATTAGTCTGGGAACCCCATCACAGTCCCTTTCGTATGTAGTGGGGAGGCTGTGGGTGGGTGTGAGTTAGCCGCCACTCAGCCTTATAGATCGAGGGGTTCCACTCAGAGCTGAGTATGAAAGGAAAGGTCCAGCTCTCCTTGGCTGTGACCTAGGGCAAGTTACTCAGCCACTGTGAGGTGAGCCTTCTGCTCCTCTACTGTGAGTAAGGCTGTTGGGAAAATAATAGGATACTTGAAAAGCTGTGCCCCAGAGGCTGGCCCAGTCAGTGGCACCTGGGTTCTACCTTGGACAAGTTCAGTCATGAGACTCCAAACCCTGAGGGACAGACCTAGAGTCTAGGCACCCCCAAGCATACAAAGGATGTTGGAAAACCACGTATCCTGTATCCTGTCCATCCAGGAGGCCTCATGGAATTGCTCTAGGATTCCCTGCCTCCATGAGCTCGGGGGACCCTGGAGCCCTCACTCACTGTTCAATCCTGGCCTGGTACCTTGGGCACTTAGATCCAAATGCCTCCCCTGGGAGCAGCTGTCCCCTAGGGCTTAGGGTGGGCCAGCCTTGCTGGGGTTCAGCTTTCAGGGCTGAGTTCCTTCGAAGAGCAGGAGCTGGAAGCATCTAGAACACCAGTCCCTCTGAGTTCCATGCTGGTAGCTGATGGTGGGAGCTGCTTCCTCTATAGCAGTCTCAGTCAAAGTTCCTGCCAAGGGTCAAGCAGGGACCACCCTGGCATCCTCAGCCTGGACTCAGGAAGCTAGCACCCGTTAGCCACACATCAGCCCATTCCACAGATGCATATCTGGGGCTCAGATATCATCCCATGACTTCTGTGAAGGCCAGGATTTCCTTACCGTCCAATGGAGTCTCTGCTGGCATCTGCAACCTCCATTTCCCAGGCTGCAGGCACCCTGGGCCTTTGGGGATCAGAGAACCTGGTACCAGGGTCCTGTGCCCCGGCTCCCGGAAGTCCCCAGCTCAGGTACCCCCCAAGGCCCAGCAGCAGTGTCAGGATCATGGCGAGGGACAGGCTTAGCTGGCTCCACTGAGGCTCAACCTTGCAAGTGGCTCCCAAATTTGCTGGTGATGTGGTCTTCAAGTAAAATCTCGGAAAGCAAAGAAAACATGGGGATAACAAAGGGAGGAAGTGGCCTGGTCCGGCCCACCCGGTAAGTCTCATCCGCCCCCGCCTCTTCCAGCCTGGCCCCCTCTGAGGTCACCAACCACTCAGGCCAATTCCTGTGTCCTAAGGGCACTTGAATCAGGACATTGGGGGTGTGGGAGACACTTGAGGGTGGCCCTATCAACCCCATTTCTACAGGACTCTGTTCCAGGCCCCCCTGGAGATAGGATCGTAGAAAGTGTCAGCCTCAGGAGATCTGGTGCCACCCACGCTGTCGGCCAGGAAGTGGGAAGCAGGCACATCATGCCTTCTTGGCACCTTTTGGTGCTGGGCTATGGGAACCAGCAGGTGGGTGGTAGATGCTAGAATCGCACAGCACGTGGCCCAGTCCAGGGTATGGGGAAGCATTGTGTGTTTCTGGTCTCAGCTTTCCAACAGGTTTGACTGGAGAGCTCCAGGCTCAGGAGCATCCAGGATGCTGTGGGTAGCTGGACAACCAAGGCAGTCTGCAGATGGGTCACTCACTGGACAGACCCTGACCCCTGCCCAACCTGGGACACGGAGGGATCCGCCAAGGCACTTAGCTTCTACACACAACACCCAGGGCACAAGACCACCATGGCTTTCCAAGGATGAATGAGGGGCAGTGATAGATTGGGATGTGTCCAGCCTCCTGCAAGCATCCCCTCCCCTGGGATGACAGGAGTCAGCAGGGCAGAACTGAGCCAGTAGGGGCCCAGGCCCTGCTCTCTGGTGTTCCCCCTGGGGCATGCTCTTCTCCAGCCCGCCCTCCCTGCCCCCTCCCTGCCCGGGGCTGGCTGGGCTCCAGCCAGCAGCCACAGCATCAATATTTCATCCACGTCAATAAGAGGCAGCGGCGGCAGCGGCAGGGACAGCAATTGCAGCGGCACTTGCCAGCTCCGGTCCGCAGCTCACAACAGACAGGTCCCATCCGAGTAACCGCCATGGATGTCTTCAAGAAAGGGTTCTCCATTGCCAAGGAGGGTGTGGTGGGTGCCGTGGAAAAGACCAAGCAGGGAGTGACAGAGGCGGCTGAGAAGACCAAGGAGGGGGTCATGTATGTGGGTGAGTGTGGCCGGCGGGGCGGGGCAGGGCGGGGCAGAGGGCTCCCTAAAGGAGGGCCGATCCTGCTACCTTCCCTCTGCTGACCCGCACCCCCATTCTGGGGAGCGTTTTGAGAGAGATGAAACCCTGATTGTGGAGGCAGGGTCCCCACGTCCCGGAGAATACGCTACTATCTATCTGTCTTTGGAACTTTGCGGGGAGGGACTCTGAGGTCTCTAGGATCAGAGTGCCACTCAGACCACCTGGGTGTACACACATGTCTGGGGTCTCCTAAGCCTGGAGACCCTGGAGGCAATGATCTGCTCAGGTGGACCCCACTTTCTCCAGTGGGAGCTGCTGCAGTCAAGTCAGACGCATGACCCCACGTAGGCTAGAGGGAAGGGGTAGGCTGTGGAGATGGGTCCAGTTGAGTGTTCAACCCACCCCAGCTCTCTGGTCTCCCTCCAAAGAGGGGGCAGGGGTGGCCAAGCCTGTGACTCAGCTTTCTCTGCTCTGTTCAGCTGCTGCTTCTGAGGCCCGGGCCACACCCATGCAGGGCCCATAGACCCACCAGTGACCCTACCTCAGGCCTGGTGTCCTTTGTCCCCACGTCCTGTCCTGTCTCCTTCCCGTTTGGCCTCTGTCCTTCAGACGTAGCAGGAAATGTCCCTTTGAAGGGGCTGCAGTCCCCAGACACCATCCTCATCCCCTCCTGCCCCACCCCCACCCCAGGGTGTTCAGCTATCCGCCCTGACAGGCTGAACACCTCTTTCCTCCACTAGGCAACAAAACCAAGGAGAATGTGGTACAAAGTGTAACTTCAGGTAAGGCTGCCCACCATCAGGGACCCACGAATCTTGCCCTATACCCAGGGCCCACACCTAGAGTCCACCTAAGCCCCAGGTGACCCAAACTACCCTATTCCCTGAAGACAGACCTCAGTAGGCTCCTGCTCTCCCCAACACATTGTTGCTGCCCTAGAGTCAGAGAAAGGCATGGAAATAACCAGGAGTCAGACATCCAAGCTCTGGGAAGGAAGGGGCTGTTCTCCCCAGCCTGGGTGGGCAGCAGGGGAGAGGGCCAGGGCTGAGTCCAGCCAGAATCCTCTGCAGTGGCTGAGAAGACCAAGGAGCAGGCCAATGCCGTCAGTGAAGCTGTGGTCACCAGTGTCAACACGGTGGCCACCAAGACCGTGGAGGAGGCAGAAAACATCGTGGTCACCACCGGGGTGGTGCGCAAGGTGAGCCTCGCTCATGTCCTCTCCTTGGGCTCTCTGGCAACAGGAGACACCGTTGGGCACACAGGGAGGAGTGTTAGACACTGCTTGACTCACAAGCAGCACCATTGTGTGTGTTGAGGTGACTTGGTGTCTTTACACCTGTTCGTATCTGGAATCCTCACCACACCCCTACAGTGGGGACTTGGGGTTCATTTTATGCACAAGGAAAGTGACACTCAAACCACGCCCAGCTCATCACTTTCAGCATTTAGGAACTAAATTTTACAAGTGAATTCGGGCCTTGTACGGTGAAAGGCAGCCTTCTAGACAGGCTCAAGTTTCCAAGCCACCACCAGGGCTACCTGTTATCCTTTGTCCAACCTCCCTCTGTCCCGGGGTCTGGCCGCTGCCTCCCCTTGAAGCCGTGAGGGAAACACTGCCCCCTGGTGGTGGCCAATCAGGAGGGCTCGGACTCCACCCTCTGAAGTCTTTGTGTGAGCATGTGGGGTGTATGTGCATTGTAGGAATGGTGGAGATGTACGTGGATGTGTATGCATGCGATGCATGTATGAACGGGCGTGTGTGTGTGTGTGTGTGTGTGTGTGTGTGTGTGTATGTGTGTGTGTGTGTGTGTGTGTGTGTGAGCTGAAAGGACAGCGCCATCAGGTTCTCTGGGGATAGATGTCTGAGCTCTCACCAACAGTAAGCTCTGCTTTTAAGCACTTTACACTTACCCTTTTAATGGGCTCCCAAGTTCCACAAAACAGGATGTGGAAAGGAAAGCCTGGAGACATTAGGTGATGAGCCACAGTCAAAAAGCTAGTTCATGTGAGCATGGATCTCCCATAAGTGGCCAGCTCCTGGCTGTACTCTTGAAAGACTGAGTACAGATTGTGCAGGGATGGGGATTCCAGAATGGAGACTGGGGAGGAAGCTGATTCCAAAGACTTGTCATCTTCAGCCCCTGTACTTACCACAGGCTACCCCAGTGGTGGAACCCCAGCATCTCACACAGCCAATGATGCAGAAGCCTGCTCTGAGGAGTGGGTAGAAAGGGAGGGGTCTCCCATCCCAAACACCTGCTCTGGGGCCAGCACAGGGTCTCTTGTCACTGGAGTGTGCCTGTGCACCTCTGCAGACAGACGGTATGACTTTGGGAAGAGACCCTATCCGGGTCCGCATTTCCTCATCTGAAATGGCACACCATCTATCTCATGGGGCTGTGGGGAAATGCAGAGAAAGGATGCCAGGAAACAGTTCTGCCAGGCACATGGTGAGCACGCACCATCATCATCATCATCGTCACCGCTGTCACCAGCGCTGTAAGCACCTCCAGATGCTCTAAGTACAGTAAGATGATGAAGGGTCTCTGCTCATCCCTGAGAGCTGGCAGCAGAGGCCCTGGCGGCAGGCAGCGGAGGGTCAGGGTGTCTTCCCATAGCCTGTGTCCTCTTTGCACCCTGTAGGAGGACTTGGGAAAACCTGCGCCTGCACAGGACGAGGAGGCCAAAGGGCAAGAGGATGAGGAGGTAAGAACGGGACTCCCAGGGTACACCAGAAAGTTCCGGTAGAGACCGGAGCCGCACAGACCATCTTCATTTCTGAGTCCTGGCAAACTTTCCACAGCCTCCCACAGGGACGTGGGTGTGGCAGACCTGGGCTTGAGTGCATGATCTCCTCATAAGTGACCCTTCCCTGGTGATCAGGGAGAGCTGTGGGTCCCGAGCTGAGTGCAAGTCTCTCTCCTTCCCTCCTTTTCTCCCCTCCCCTCGCTGCCAGGCCAAGAGTGAAGGAGACTAGGAGGCTGCCATCAACCACAGAGGTCCAAGGGACACCCCTCTACCTTGGACCCTGTTCCCACCTGGCACAGTAAGTGCCCTGCGTAGAGTGCCCTGCAGGTTGCCCGCGTTCTCTGCTCCCCAGCTCGGTGCCACAAGCCTGTCCACGCACGCACGCACGCACGCTACTGCCAGCGCCAGCGCCCCCTGCTGGCTCCTCTTGCCCTATGGTCCTTTGGATCCCACAGTTCAGATGCCGCTGTGATTTCTTTCTTTTTTCTTTTTTTTAATGATTCCAAATAAAACCTGAGTCCCACTCCCACCCATGCCTCTTCTCTGTGCTGCGCTATCACTCATGAAGCCCCCTGGACATCCCCAGGGGAAAAAAGACACCTGCTCAGCATTTGATGGGACCGGGTACACTTCAAGACATACAGAGTTCTACTGGAACCTGTGCCTTCAGGAGCACTGTGCCCCGTCCCGTCCCCCCGCCACACACACACACACACACAGCCCACTGTCTTCAGCAGTAGGGTGGTGGCCTTTCTTTCAGCTCCCCAGATAACAGGCAGCTGACCCTGTCCCCAGTAGTGTGACTGGACGGTTCCGGTTTCAGCCTCAGCACCGAAACCCCTTCAGAGTGGATTCCACCACCTTCCTGGTTCATTGGGTCTGAGGACGCTTAGGCAGAGGATGAGAATGTCGGTACAATGTCAACTTGTGTGCTATGGAGACAGGGCACCTCACGCCTTCCCCAGAACACTCCAGCAATCATGTGAGGACACACACACACACACACACACACACACACACAGCAGAGCAGAATGGCCCTGAGGCTCCTCCCGCCTGGCCCCAGGCATCCTCCGATAGGTGGGCTTTCTTTTCCTATCTAGCCCAGGAGCCTACAGGACAGCATAAAAAAAAGAAAACGGCATTGGTGTATCTGGGACTGCGAATATAGTTCAGTGATAGAATGCTTGCTTACCAAGCCCGAGGCCGTACGTTCAGCCCTCAGCGTTCCAAATGAATAAACACAGTTGGCATATACCATAGTAAGCTTCGAGAAGAAAAGGAGGTTTTCGTTGTTGTTGTTGAGACAGGGTTTCTCTGTGTAGTTTTGGTGCCTGTCCTGGATCTCGCTCTGTAGACCAGGCTGGCCTTGAACACACAGAGATCTACCTGGCTCTGCCTCCCGAGTGCTGGGATTAAAGGCGTGTGCCACTGCCACCCCAAGAGAAGGAAAGGAATTAAGGAACTGAGAGTTTAAACAACTTGCCCAAGAGCACAGAGCTGAGACACAGCGGGACTGGGCACAAACTGATGTCCTCGTTCCAGAACCCCCGATTCCCTGCTCTGCCATGGCCTCCAGGGTGCTATTTCAGAGTCCCCCCCCTCCAAAACTTCAAACAACCCAGGCACCCAGCCTGACTGGGGTCCAGCACTGAGCTGCCTCACCCTTGGAATCTTTCCTGGGGTCTCAGCCTTGGAATCTTTCCTGGGGTCTCAGCCTTGGAATCTTTCCTGGGGTCTCAGCCTTGGATACTCAGTTTGGGTTTAGAACTTTGAAGTGACTTGTTCAGGCCTCCAATGCCAAAGCCAGAACTGGAGGCCACACTGGCCCGAGACATTTGTCTCCCACCCAGCTTGTGCAATAGGGAGCAGGGGTCAAGGCCAGCCCAGTCAACCTGCCCCTGAGCTCTTTATCCAGGTGGGTGAGTCACAGGCATCCACTGCTTGGGAGGAAGGGAAGAACTGAGGGTCCATGGTCCCACGGACAGGAGGAAGAGGCAAGAGGAGGCTCAGGGCAGGCAGGGTGCTCCTGCACATACCTCCTCCCCAACTCACAAATTTCAGGAAGTCGTGCCCACCTGGGAGGTGTGCCCACCCGGGAGCTCTCTGGGCTGGAAGAGAAAGTGTAGGACCAAGGCTAGCTTGGGGGACTGGAGGCAGAAGAAAGGCAGGTAGACCTGGCCCCAGGAAGTCTCTCACCTCCCAAGCATCTTTGCAAAGGTCTCTGTTGCTCCCCCAACCCTTGTTCCGGACTCAAATGAGAAACATCAAGGTCAGCCTGTCCCGGAAGACCTTTCTCCAACCTCTGGCACCTGCAGTGTTCCCTCCCTTCAACCCCAGGCGCACGCCCGGGCTAACCACTGGGAAAGGAAAAGCGAAGTTCTCTGTGGTCTTAGACCTGAGCTTACCCAAGAAGCCCCACTCCCGTCTCCTGAAGGCTCTCGGGTGTGTTGGGCTGTGACTTTGGGAAAATAAACCTTCCAGCCTCAGCTGCTTTTAACTGACTTCCTTCTCTCTCTCTCTCTCTCTCTCTCTCTCTCTCTCTCTCTCTCTCTCTCTCATTTTTTTTGTTTAAAGTTAAATATTGATTGATTGATTGAATGAATTTTTAAAAATATTTTTAATTATATGTATATGTGTGTATCTGAGTGGGGTTTGTGCACCTGAGTGCAGTGCCCCCAGAGGACGGGAAGGGTGTTAAACCCCTCAGAACTGGAGTTAGAGGCAGGTAAGAGCCACCCTCCTTGGATGCTGGGGTGCAGTTTCTGATTTTCTAAATAACATGTTCTTAACTGCTGCTGAGTCGTCTCTCCAGCACCCCACCCCACCCTTTAAATTTAACTTTTTTTTAAATGACAGTTTCACTGACTGGCTGCACTGGAACTAGCTATGCAGATCAGGCTGGCCTCTAACTCCCAGCAATCTGCCTGCCTCTCTCCCAAGTGCTGAGATTAAAGGCATGAGCCACCATACCCATGGCTTATTTTTATTTTCTGATACAAGATCTCATGTAGCCCTGACGGGCCTCTGACTTACCACGTAGTTAAAGTGGCTCTGAACTCCTGACCCTCCTGCCTCCACCTCCCAAGTGCTGACTGAGATCACACAGTACACCACCGAGCATCCTCCTGCCTCCACCTCCCAAGTGCTGAGATCACGTGCAGCACATGCACAGCTGCTTTTTGGCTATTCTTGGTTTTGTTCTTAGAGACAGGGTTTCACTCAGTAGCCCAGGCTGGCCTCCAACTTAGCAGTGATCCTGTCTCCCAAGTGCTGGAATTATACGTATGAACCACCACACTGGACTTTTTAGTTGACTTTAAAAATCACTAATTTTGGTCCAACGAGATGGCACAGGGGATAGAGTGCTTGCTGCTGAGTCTAATGACCCAAGTTCAATCCCTGGAACTCCATGGTGGAAAGAGAAAACTGATTCCTGTAAGTACTCCAGCCTCCATATTCATTCACATCGTGGGGCACATGTGTGCACATGCAAGTGTACACACACACACACACACACACACACACACACACACACACACACAAAACAATAATTTTTTTTTGTTTTTTCAGGATGGCTTCTCTGTGTAGCCTTGGCTGTCCTAGAACTCACTCTGTAGACCAGGCTGGCCTTGAACTCAGATACCTGCCTGCTTCTGCCTCCTGAGTGCTGGGATTAAAGGCGTGTGCCGCCGCCGCCGCCGCCGCCGCCGCCGCCGCCGCCGCCGCCGCCGCCGCCGCCGCCACCACCACCACCACCACCACCCGACAAAATAAACAATCTTTCAATTTTTCTACTAAAATATCACTGTCTGGATGGTAGTTGCATCAGGAGACAGAGGCAGGCGGGTCTCTGAATTTGAGACCAGCCAGGTCTACACAGAGAAACCCTGTCTTGAAAAAAGACAAACAACAAACAAACAGAATATCGCTGATCTGAGGCCAGGTGACTGACTAAACCCACTTACTGAACTCAGGAGACAGAGACAGGAGAATCAAGAGTTCAGGGCCAGACAGGGTTACAGGGAGGCCTTGCCCTGAAAAAGGAAGTGAATTAAGTAAATCACTAAATGCGACTGAGCTATACACTAGTCCGACCTGCTTTCTGCACACACACCTCTGCTACATGGGTTACGATGATGACGGTCGCCTAGGTCACTACTTCACTGGGCCTGTCAAAATATCTTAAGGGTGACTGACGCTGCTGCCTTAGCCTGGTTTCACTACATAGACAGGCGTGCCAGTCAGTTCAGGGATGTTTTTTAGGGCTGGCAGTAAAAACTGACTCACCCAGTCCCTCTCCTCCCCATTCAGGGCTGAAGACGTCAAGACAAGCAGGACTATGTAACAAGTCTTTCTCTGTCCCTCCAGCCAGTTCCCAAATAACCCCACAGAGACTTATTGATTATGAAAGCTCGGCCAATAGCTTAGGCTTGTTTCTAAGTAGCTCTTATAACTTAACCCATTTCTGCAGCTCACGCCTTTAATCCCAGCACTCGGGAAGATCTCTGTGAGTTTGAGGCCAGCCTGGTTTACAAAGCGAGATCCAGGACAGCACCAAAACTACACAGAGAAACCCTGTCTCGAAAGAAAAAAAAAATTAACCCATTTATACTCATTTACGTGCTGCCACGTGACTCATGGCTTGTCACTTCATCTCCCACATGTCATACTTTCTTCATGTCTCCTCATGATTCTTCCCCTTTTCCCAGCATCCTCTGTGCCTGGAAATCCTGCCTAGCTATTAGCTGTTCAACTTTTTATTAAACCAATCAGAGTGACACATCTTCACAGTGTACAAAAAGATTATTCAGCCGGGCGGTGGCGGTGCATGCCCGCCTTTAATCCCAGCACTCGGGAGGCAGAGCCAGGTGGATCTCTGTCTCTGTGAGTTTGAGGCCAGCCTGGGCTACCAAGTGAGTTCCAGGAAAGGCACAAAGCTACACAGAGAAACCCTGTCTTGAAAAACCAAAAAAAAAAAAGATTATTCCACAATAGGACTACGCCATTTTAAAACTGATATGGGTATCCAGATCTGTGACATCACAGGGCAGCAGGCCCACTGGAGAGATGCCTGCACATGTCCAGTCACCCAGCCTTTCCTAAGCAAAACCCACTTTCTTCTCCTGTGCCTAAGAACAAAAGGGCTTGAGTTAGCTGAGTTTTGCTCCAGGGCCCTGGCCTGCAGTCTTCTTGTTGGTTGGTATTCTGAAGAAATCTTCCTCACTCACTGGACCCCTTGATCATTCAGCAGACAGACTTGGTTTTGGGAATAAACATCCATCAATCCATTTAATGTCCATGAAAACACTTTAGGGGAGGGTGTGGTGGTGCACACTTTTAATCCCAGCACTCAGGAGGAGGAGGCAGGCAGATCTCTGTGAGTTTGAGGCCAGTGTAGTCTACAAAGTGAGTTCCAGGACAGCCAGGGCTACAGAGAGAAACCTTGTCTCAAAAAAACAAAACAAACAAACAAAAAAGAAAAAAGGAAGAAAGAAAAGTGAGCAACCCAGGTCATTCCTGCCCTCAGCCTAGCTGGTGGGTTTAGGTGACCTGTGACCTCTTTCCTTTGCCTGACACAGGAACATAAAAAGTCTCACCTTTGGGGTTAGACTTCACCCTCCCGTATCTGTCCTGGTTGGATTCCAGGGTCCTCAAGGCACACAGCCCACCTTCAGTGCCAGTGCCAGAGCCAGGTGGGTGGAGACAGGGGTCCTGTGTTTACCAGGGCCCTGAAGTTTATACCCATTGCAATAGATTTGAGTCCTGATGTGAGAGTTTGACTAAAACCCTACTGATCTTTCTGCCTCAGTTTCCTTCTGTAAACCCATGTTATTTCAGCTCACTATACAATTCTAAAAAATTATACAAGAAACTCTAAAGGAATGTGTGTGTGTGTGTGTGTTCTCAAAAATACTCAATAAAAAACCCTGCTACTGGCCCAGCGGTGGTGGCGCACGCCTTTAATCCCAGCAGTCGGGAGGCAGAGCCAGGCCGATCTCTGTGAGTTCGAGGCCAGCCTGGGCCTCGTGAGTTCCAGGAAAGGCGCAAAGCTACACAGAGAAACCCTGTCTCGAAAAACCAAAAAAAAAAAAAAAAAAACAAAACAAAACAAAAAAAAAACCCCTGCTACTATTAGTATCAACTCCAGGATGACCAGATGGAGTTCCTAGCTGAGGAACCACGGCCACTGGGTGAGTAGTCTCCTGGATCTCTGTCTAGCCCTTCTGCCTTTCTTAGTTGCCTTTCCCACTCTAGTTAGTGTTTGGTTGGAACCTTCAGCTCACCCCTACATGATCCAGAAAACCCCATTCCATCTCTCTCTCTCTCTCTCTCTCTCTCTCTCTCTCTCCAAACCCTGTCCTATCTGAGACTCTCCAAACAAAGGGAAGGCGCCAAAAAACCCAGTTCTGAATTCTTGGCAGCTTCCTCTCCTTGAAGTTGCCAGCTGCCCAAATCCCTGCCAGCTGTTGACCATACTTGGGCACAGACCCAGCTTGTGGCAGACACATCATCACCCTTCTTCTACAACCTATATGATCTCCCTCGCTTTAGTTTGGGCGTGTGGCTTCTCCAGCCTCCATCTCTGGGACTGGAGAACTCTTCCAGGAGTTGCTTTGCTCAAATAAAGCTGTTGTTATTGTTAGGATCCTGCCCTCACTCCAGCACATGCTCAGCGTGGGTTCTTGCATCTTATGTCACCAGCGGGCACAGACAACTACATACCCACCTTAAAAAACTGGACGCAGACCCCCACACTCTCTCTCTGTCTCTCTCTTTGCTCTGCTCCCTCCCCCTTTCCCTCCCCCCCCAGGCCTTCTCCCCCCTTCCCTCCTAATAAAGCTCTAAAAGTACCACTGGGTTCTGTCGTGACCTTTCTAGGAGGTAATCAGCGCAGATTACTATCACTTATACTTTTTCAATTAGGCTTGATTTGGCTTACTGCGTCAGCTGAGAAATGTATTATGGGGGGTGGAGGAGGTCAAAAAACCTGTTAGTTAGATCTCTCCCTTCCCTGTGATGAACCCCCAGGGAAGTGTCCTCCCTCCTCCATCCCTCACACCCTCTTAGTCCCTGTTCCCACCCAAAGCCCAGTAATCTGCCTGCTGACCTGCTCCTGCCCTCCCTCTGCAGGGTGAGCTGGCTCTGGCGTACTTAAAAAAAAATTAAAATCAAGCTGAGTGGTGGTGGCACATGTCTTTAATGCAGGAGGCAGAGGCAGGCAAGTCTCTGAGTTGAGAGGTCAGACTGGTCTACAGAGAGAGTTCCAGGACAGCCAGAGCTACAGGCAGAGAAACCCTGTCTCACCCCATCCCCCACATCCAAATCAGTGTTCAGATAAGCTGCTGCAGCTGTCCTTGATAACCCAGAACTCCCCCAAGCCATGGCAGTAACAATATGAAAGACCTGGAGCAGCATGCCCAGGGAGCCAGTGAGGGGAGCCCTACCTGAGCATCAGCGGGCACACCTTCCTAGAGCACAGCCACAGGAGCAGCAGGTCTCTGTAGTGTGGAATCCTCAGACCCCGTCTCCCGGAGATGGAGGTGCCACAGAACAGCCACCTGGGCCAGTGCTTTGGGAGTTACTGGAGCTCATCTGAGGAGGTGCCAAGCAGGGAGCAGGTCTGAGGCTGTGCACGCGCCCCCCACCCCCAAACACACACCACTGGAATGGACTTCTGCCTGCTGAAAGACCTCTACCTGCTGGCCTCCCAGCAGAGGGCAGATGGGACCCAGAGGTGTCTCCAGACCCCATGAACTTTTTTTTTTTTAACCACCTGGGGTGGGGTGGGGATCTGTTGGTTACTTTGAAGTTTCCTGTGTCAGGCAGATCCCAGCCTTAAGTTTCTCCACATCTAACTCCCTTCTTATTCCAAACTGGTAAAGAAACAAGCCAAGAAGGAGCGACCCAGAGCCGTAGATTATTATGAGCACTCAGGAGCAGGGCTCACCAACCTCATTGTCTTCCTGGCTGGCCTAAGGCAAGAGACTTCATGCCAATGGCATGGGGCTAAGGACACTATCTTGTTCCAACGAGTGGAAAGGATGACCCCATCCCAGAGGATGACCCCATCCCAGAGGATGTACAGAAAGTCTAGTGGTGTTAGGGGGTGGAGGATAAGGGAGAGTGGGGTGCACACTCCTCACAGGCTCCAACCCTGGCTCAGTGTTAACCTCCTTTCTACAGACCTGTCTACTGAGCCGCTCTGCCCTCAACGACTGGAAAGTAGAGTTCCTGGCCAGCATACTCTAACCAGATTTAACTCAGCACAGCAATGGGTCCCCAGGGTACTGCCTTTACTGCGTCGTGCTTCCTTTCCCAGGCTCGGACAGCGCTGCCAGGCGTCCATGAACCCAGGCTGTCAACCAGGATCTAACAAGGCGAGCAAAGACTCCAGCCATCAGCAGTGAGGAAACCGAGCACTTCTCTCCAGTCGGGGATCCGCTGAACTTGGCCCAGAGCTCTGTCCTGCTGGTGCCTCCTTGATCTGCCCTTAATTAAAGCTCCTATTGTCCTACTTTTGGATTCACTTAGTGATCTCGCCAAGCAGGGCCCAGCTCTTTGGCGCCGTTGGGGGCGGGTTTCCCATCCTCTCCGCCGCCTACTACTCATTAGCTTCAGAAAGCAGGCTGCACCTAGGATGGGGGGTACTCCCGTCCCCTGATCCTCCGGGGACTCCTCTCTGAATGGAGGCGAGGTGCTGAAGGAGGCTGGGAGAGGGGAACCGGCGCCTGCGGGCGCCCTCGGGCTGCAGGAAGGCCTTGCAGGCTACGGAACCGCGGGAGCTGCGCACCCGGCCACACCCTGCGGTGACTCACCAGGAGGGACCCCTCGGTCTTTTTTAAGGTTTTGATCGCGGCCGCCAGGCGGAGCCCTGTCTCCAAAGGAGAGAGCGTGCGTGCAGGGCCCTGTGCCCGTGGCCTTGGAGTGTGCTAGTGCTAATGCGTCCAACCTCCCTTAAGCTCCCTTTTCTTCTCGAGCTAACTAGAAACTTCTGGTCCAGAACGAAACTGGACATTTTCGTCCGGCAAGTCCCAGAAGGAACAGGGATCCTGCAAAGCTAGCTCGCTTCCCAACCCTCAGCACGTGTCCGCGCACGGGACCTCAGCTCTGGGCGCGCCCGGCTGCTGGCTGACTCACAGTGCGGCAGAGGGAGGCTACACCCAAGCATCCATTCATCAGAAACAGTGCCACACCCCAGGGGATCCCTGCCTGCCTCCTGTCCCATCTCCAGGCCTTTATGCCTTTATTGTCGTCGCCCCTAGTAATACCTTCTCCCAATTGGTGCATAAAAAAGTTTATCACTTCAATTCAAAAATAAGAACCACGCCCTCCCCAGTTCTGTGGAGATTAAGAAAAAGCAGCTTTCTTTGCAAGCTGGCCCAGGCTGTCCCTCGAGGCCTTCCTTTTGCCTCTTCCACCCTCGTCCAGGGTGGTGCCCATATTGGATCCACATGGCTGTTTTCCCCCAAAGAAGACCTTCCCAAGTGTGCAAAATGAGCTGATACAGTTACCTCCAGCTCAAAGGGAAGGCCCTTTAAGAGACACCTCGAGCTGTCTGAGGGCTTCTGGCATCTCCAAAAGAACTCACCTACAGGTGCTGGGTCAGGAGACAGTTGGGATCACACCACGAAGCTGAGGGCGCTGATCTTCGACGCCCTTTGTCTTTCTGTTGTTCATTCTTGCCCAGTGTGACTCAGGGTAAATCCCAGGAGGCTCACATCCTCTGCTTCTTTTCCTGCTCTGCTTTAGGCAAACAGGCATGAATATGGCGGGGGGTGGGGGGGGGGGGTGGGGGGATGGGAGCCTCTTGCTAGGAGGGGAAAGGTCAAGCCTATGGGACGGGGTGGGGGTGGGGGTGGGGTTCTAGGAAAGCTTTTTGATGACCTTAAAAGAAACAAAGGGACAAGGAAAGAAATGATCCCTCCTTTCTTACAGACTTTATAGCTTGGAATAGTCAGTCCCTAGAACTGGGGTGGGCACTTGCAATACCAGGACACACGAAGAGGAGGCTACCTTTCTGATCAGGGCAGCAGTGGAGACCCTGTGCTGTCTGGAGTCCTTTATCCAATCCCCAACCTCACTGATTCTGCGGCAGCCACTGCTCTGACTGAAGACACGGGCCTGAATTAGGCTTTCTGTTCCGATAGATTTTGTTGAATAGAAAGCTTAGTTTTCCCCAACTACCTGCTATGGGAGCCCATTTTCAGGTTTCCTAGTGGCTGTACCCAGCAGGTCTGCATAGAGAGGATGGTTTGGGCCTGGGTGCAGGTGTCTGAAGATGGTCTGCACTTGGCTGTAACTAGAAAGCAAGGGGGAGGTCTTTTGCTCCACCCCTTGGCATTGTTATAAATAGACCTTTGGAATAAAGTTCTGGGCCGGTGGGTAAGGATCCAGGCCCACCCGAGTCTGTCCTGCGTTTCTCTCTGTTTCTCTCCCCCTCTATTTCTAACTTGTCTCTTATTCCTCATTCTTCAAGAGCCCCTTGGGTAAATAAATGTGGGGACTGGTCCCCCACAACCTGCACTCCTAAGCCATGCACTACCTACCCAGCTGTCTCTTAGGCATTCCTTTCCTTTCCGGCTCAGCCACATGACTTCCTCTTTAGTTCCTTTCCCGTGACCATCTGTCTAGTCAAGCTCTTCTTCAGGGGCCATGACCCCACACTCTGTCTACAATGCACTCATAAACTACCCTTGCCTGACTGTACCTGGCTCTTCCTTGGATCTTGTCTCGGTTTGGCAGAGCACACACACACACACACACACACACACACACAGCAATTCGAATACAGGTGCCTGAGGCATCAGCTCCCCCTGGAGCTGGAGTCAGGTGGTCATGACCTGACTGACACTGGTGCTGGGACCTGAACTCATGTCCTCGGCAAGAGCCTTACTCACCCTTAGCCCCTCTGCAGCCAAAGCCGTTCTTTTTTTTATTTATGTATTTATTGATTTATCTACCTATCTATCTACCTATTAATGTGTTTATTTACTTATTTTGAGGCAGGATCTCACTAGAGCCAGACTGGCCTTTAACTCTCCACACTCCTAAGCCTCAGCCTCCCCAGGACTGGGTTAGGAGTCTTGGTTCCCTTTAGACTGCAGACAAGAGCAGAATTTCCTACTCCCCAGGCTCTCTTCCTTCCCTTTCTCCCGGGTAGTTCTCTCCTTTCTACTCTGTGAAAACATGTAGCGTTTACATTCCATTGCCCAGCCCTCCATTGCCCAACCCCTAGCCACACCTTTGGTTTTGACTTAGATCTACAGATGAAGATAGCAAAAGCTTCCCACCCATCGCCCCTTTGGCGGAAGTATTTTCTGCTGTCTCTTGATTGGCTGAAGTCATCCTTCTCCAGAAGTGTTTTCAAGACTGAAACACTGATAAGATATCTGGGATCTAAGTTGACAATTTCTACAACTGGGCAAAGGGCCTGTAAAGATTTAGAATATTCCAGTATGCATGGCATTTCCTATTTTTAAAAATGTTAAAATAAAAATTAAGAAAGAAAGGTGGGGGTACATATACATGTAGATACATGCAGGCAAAGCACTTAACACACACTAAGTTGTTATTGTTTTTTTGTTTGTTTGTTTTCAAGACAGGGTTTCTTTGTGTAATTTCGGTGCCTGTCCTGGATCTCTCTCTGTAGACCAGGCTGGCCTCGAACTCACAGAGATCCTCCTGGCTCTGCCTCCCGAGTGCTGGGATTAAAGGCGTGCACCACCACTGCCCAGCCAATAAGTTTTTTTGAACGACAGGGCTGTGTACCTCATACACGCCAGGCACAGACTCTACCACTAAGCTACATCACCCCTCTACCTGAGAAGGGAAGTCTCACTAAGTTGCCCATGTTGGTGAAGAGCTAGCTCATTTTGTACTCTAGGGAGGCCTTGACTTTGTGCCGCTTCTGCCTCAGCCTCCTACATAGTAGTTAGAAATAGAGGCCCAGGCCCTGAGACCTGGATATACCGAGTTTCTAATGGGTCAGCCATGCACAGGAGATAATTTAGCTCCCTGGCCATCCTCCCCGGACTCCCCTTTGATTTTTGTTATACATACCCTTCCTCTTGTAATAATGCACGGGACAGCCTAGTTCCTTCATCTGCTTCTACTGTGCACACACGTACCCCTCTCCAAACGCACTTGCCAACCTTGAATCCCTTGACCTCCACCTGCATCTGGCTACATGAACCCCCATCTCTGAACAACGCTATCTTCCCCTGCCCCCAGTAACAGTCAAAGTTAGACAGTTTCTATCCTAAGCAGGTAAGAAGAACAGAAGGGCCAGCCTGGCCTGCACTGGTTTTGAGTGCATGAGCAGTGAGGCAAAACTGTGTCCTCTAGTAACCTTTTAGGGAGAATTCCCTATGTATCATTTTCTGCTGAGGTGTAATTGGGTGTGCATATAATTAAGATCAGACTCATTATGGGATAGGACATGTTCAGTAAGAAAAATGAGTATATGGCCTAATCTGTCAATCAAAGTAGAAGCTACACCCTAATAACCAGTCCCTCTTTCTCCTGAACACCATAAAGGAAGCCCCAAACGATGACTGGGTTCCTTGAGTGGTTTCTCTGGTACGGCACGACTTCAGTGTGAACAGTGTTTCTCTCTTTAGTCTGCGCTATCACTTTGCTCCACGTACAATGGTCTTGCTTTAAAAGAAAAAAAAAATCCTGGAAGCATTTGACCCAGACTGGGACTACGGGAACACGAACTCTTAATTGTGTTGATCTTGTCAAATGCATATTACAGTAAGCCTTGTTTTGGAATAGACACCTGCAAAAACCAGGTTAAAAATCAAAATGGAGCTGGATGATGGCGGTGTGTGACTTTAAAATCCTAGCATTTGGAGGGCAGAGGCAAGTGGATCTCCATGAGTTTGAGGTCAGCCTGGTCTACAGAGGGAGATCCAGGACAGGCACCAAAGCTACACAGAGAAACCCTGTCTCAAAAAAACAAAATAAAAAAAATAAAAATGGAGCTCCGAGCATATGCCTTTAATCCCAGCACTTGGGAAGCGGTCAGAGGCAGGAGGCAGGGGGGTCTCTGTGAACTCGAGGACAGCTTGGTCTACATAGTGAGTTCCAGGACAGCCAGAGCTGTGTAGAGAGACCCTGTCTCGAAAAATAAAAACAAGCAAACAAACAGATCAAAATGGAGTCACTCAATCTAAAGTTCAGATTGTCACCAAGACAAAACTCATCTGTTTATCTGTCCCTCCCAGATATCTGGATTAGAGCAGAGTTACCCAACAGGCCAGTTTCAATTGGCAATCCTCTGCCTTAATCCTTCTACAAAGAGGCAACCTGAAATAACCTGCTCTTCACTAATTATTACATGGTGTAGTCTGGTTGTCTGATTGGTTCAAGTGTTTTTGCTTGTTTTTTTCTTTTTTCTTTTCTTCCTTTCTTTCTTTCTCTCTCTCTCTCTCTCTCTCTCTCTCTCTCTCTCTCTCTCTCTCTCTCTTTCTTTCTTTCTTTCTTTCTTTCTTTTTTTTTTTGACACAGGGACTTGTGTGTTCCAGGCTGGCCTTGAACTTATTCTATAGTTGAGGGTGGCCTTGAATGTCTGACCATCTTGCCTATACCTGAGTGCTGAGATTATAGTTATGTGCCACCATATCTGGTTTATATTGTGCAGGGAATTGAACTCAGGGCTTCAGCATGCTAGGCAAGCACTCTCCCAACCGAGCCACATCCCCAGCACAGACACAGACCTGCCTTTTTATTCAGTATGCCTCTCTCTCCTCCAACCCTGTAGTCCCTACTGTCTGCATCTATGAATTTCGCCTTTGTAGGGATTATATATAAGTGAGACCATTTAGTATTTGTCTTTCTACACTTTGATTATTTCACTTAGCATAATGTCGGGGTCCATGTTAGCGCAAGTGGCATCGTCTTCTATTAAAGCTGATTATTGCATTGTGCATACGTACTGAACCGTTGCTGGTCACTTTT